GATACCTAAAAGTACAAATAAATCCTAGAGTCTGCATTTGAAATGCGGTTAAAAATACTCACCAAAGCCCGTAAATACTCTGAATTGTTAGCGCCATTACTGTTGCCATTATACCAACGGCAATGATAGCAAATCTCATCACAAGAATGACTTCTTTTTCAGAAGCCTAAATTTCTTCTATGATTAATTTAAGATTTGGCTACAAAAGATAATCTACTCACATGCGGTCTTATTGTAAGCTTCCATATATTGTGAGCGAACATGGATGCAGCTGAGAGAACTGAGGAATCAGCCGAAGACATCACAGCAGCTGATACCGCTCCCAAGCCTAAAAAGATCAATTAGTCACAACTGGCTAAAAGCTAAGTTGAAGAGTTCGTAAAAGCGTAACTGTCAAAGGAAAAAAGGTTGTTTCTTTTTATAGATGGTGTTAGGTGACAAGAGAGCGGTCAGGATCTAAGATTTTAGGGGTAAAAAAAATCAGATTTTTCTTTTGCTACACACCATCTAACAGTATCCAAATTCAAAACCCAGCGATGCACATTTGGTTTGAGTGATTTTTTGTATAAAGTCACTTCTCATCGGTTTTGAACGAACTTGTCGAGATTTGTATGAAAGGAAAAAGTATTTATAGCTAAAAAGTTCTATTCGTTGCTGGTTTCGTTTACCAAATTGCTGTTCTCTAATTCAGCTTACATTTTTCACTCCCTTAACATTCCTCCTCTTCAGACGCCTAAGTATGACACCCTTAGTAGCCGAAATTTCCAACTTTGTCGAATTTTCCCAAGTGAGATTTTAGAAGAAAGTTGTTGAATTGTTCGGACCTATGAATGCGACCCATTTGGGAGTGAGATACTGGAATACGAGGGGTACAACCATATTTCTTTTGTCTTCAGGTATCGCTTCGACTTTTGTGCCATTATTCCATGGAGAGTAGTCCGTCATACGCCAGTCTAAGAAATACTGCGTTATTTGTTTGTAATTACTGCGTATATATTCTGAAAGCTTACCTGTATTACGTGCTATAGCTCCAATAAGGGCTGGAGGAATTGCCATGAGCAAACAACCAACTCCAGCAACAAATGATAGTCTTTGTGCTCCAGAAGATGTTTTTGAAGAGAGCACTCGTTGGAAATATACCTAATCAAGGTTGTTCTTGTCGTAATTTCAGAAAATTAGTGATTTTTTTTGAGTTACAAAATTACGTACTTGCCATGGAATACCTCCAAATATTAGAAGAAGCATGCAGTCAATCCATAACCATGCCTCTTTGAATCCACCAATCTCTCCTATCCAATCTTCTGCATTACGAGAAATATCCTTAGTGGCATCTT